GATCTCTATGTTTTGAAGCACTTCACTTGAATGTGAGCAACTTTGCACTTCACCTGAATTTGAACGACTTATTGTTGATAAAACAAAACCTTTTTGTTTTGAAGGCATACGAGGACCTACAAGTAGGCTCTTGAAAATGCCAAACACAGCAAATATCTCATCTCTACGGAAAAAATTTTGTATGAAACTGATTTGGAAACCTGCCATAAAACAAGTTGCTATAAAAATGATTTGGTTAAAAATCAATCTGAAGTTTGATTGTAGAGCCTTTTAAAGTTGACGTAAAATTGAATGAAATTGAAAGAAAAAGGGGAAAAAAAAAATAAACTATATATGCATACAATAGTTTCCTACTCCTTTTACCAATACGTTTTTTATTTTTAAGAATAACTTCTAATAATTATGTGTTTTTAATTATGGTTGCACTTTAAGAAATTTCAATGATATTTAAAGATTTCAAGGCATAAACTCTTCAAATTACATTCCAACTTTATCTTGGTCTTCTTCAGTTTAATTTTCAATTATATTTTACAATTATTCTTCCAAATTTTTTTATTAGACTAAAATAGTTATATTTGTATAGTGTACATTTGTTTACTAGTCTTACGTTTGTGTACTGAACTTGTAATCTACATAAAAAATGATTTATTGATGAATCATTGGTTTATGTGCCCACCACATCCCTTTGATAACTTTTCCCTCTACCTTATTTCAAGAAGGGAAAGTGATGAGTTGTGATAAGACTTTTATGTTACTTGGTTGTAGGAATTTTTTAACTTTAGTTTTTAAAGTATATATTAAAAGTGTAATTATTATATTTTTTTATTATTAATTTGTATTGAAAAAATAAAAATTGACTTAAGTTTTATTCGATCGTAATTATTTCTCATAACATTAATGTTAAAAATAAAATTTATTTTTATAATTTTTTATACAAATTAATAATAAAAATATACAATAAATACAAGTATAGGTTAGACCCATTACTTAAAACAAAGAGTTTTAATAATGGTAGCTTAATAATTTCATGATCAGAACTGTATTTTTGTTGCATAATCCACCTTGAAAAGTGCTTTTTTGATTGTGATATATCCCCCTCTAACTAGTATGAGTTGTTCCCATCCATGATCTTTCTTAGAATTTCACCATTTACGAATTTAAACCAAAGTAAAAACTCAGAATTTAATAGTTCAGAAACCTCCAATTCGAGCGTCTCCACTCCAACAGTTTGCTAATTCAGACTTTGCTTAGATTTGTGAACCTTATGCCATAGATTGACACCCCTAGATTCCTCAACAGAGTGTAAAGTTTCCTGTCTTAAAAGTATCAAGCTCGAGTCAGTAGAGAGAGACTCGGAAAAGGGGTAGCTACTTCAAACATTCTTAGATTTGTCTACTAATCTGTTTAATAGCCAACCTTATGCTATAAATTGTTAGCTCCAGATTTCTCACAGTTAAAGAGATTGAGTTTCTATGTTAAAAGTATTAAACTCGAGCCATTACGAAGATTTGAAGAAGTTGAAGCAGAGGGTAGATTATCAGATTTATTGATAAATTTCTTAACCATGGACGTTCCTAATTGATGTCTTAATTGTATAACTAGAATCGATGTCATCACTGCATTCTCTGTATCATTGTCTCATTGCAATGGCCCAAATTCTAGGGTGCCTTTTCATTTTGGTTAAATTCCTAATTTGGTCCCTCAACTATCATACAGGCCCCCGACTTGGTCCTTAAACTAAAAAAAATTTTAATTTAATCCTTACTGTTTACTAATTTGATCCCAAATTGATCCTTCGATATAAAAACAGACAATGTATCTCATTATTAACATAACACGTGACCATTAAATAACGGATATGTCAGCTATTTTTTAACGAAAAGATCAATTTGGGACAAAATTGGTAAATAATAGAGACCAAATCAAAGATTTTTTTAATTTAAGGACCAAATTAAAGGTCCACAAAATAATTGAGGGACCAAATTAGAGTTCAACCTTTCATTTTTGTGAGCTCACTATTTAATCAAAATCTAGTTACTTTCAGTACTGCAGAGGTAACAACGGACTGCTTACATTATTGATATTTTCACAAAAATTTCAGAACTTCAACACCCTATTCTAATGGTGATTGTCATTCTGAGCCATGCTCGTCCTCTGAATTTGGCATTGACAATAATTGCTCCAATTGTTTAACAGCATCCTCAACTCCATATATGATCATTTTCCGAATCTGTTTGCACAACAATGAGAAATAAAGAGATTAGGAAAGGAGAAAACACAGCAAATCCAACATGGGCACCAAGTAAGAAAAAGAGAACAGGTATTTCCAGTTTAGAGTGGCTAAAAAACAAGAACTTCAGTATAACGGGTAGTATCTCTATCCAAGAGAAATTTCGCAAGCATAGAAACCTATGTTATGTCATGAAAAACCTGTGATACGTTGGGTTTCTATTGGTTGGCATACTGCTAATGTGGTATCCTGTTACACTAAAGTATTCTGCTAAAAAACATGTAGATCCAGGTATTAAACACAATTTTGCAGTTAGTGAATGAGAGAAGAAGTGGCCCATGTCAATGGCAAAAATGTTGTTTTCAGCCCAAACTATGATGTTTTTGCGTCAATACAGAGAGTAATACTTAATCACATCAACCAGAGTATAGGTAAACAGTGTTATGACCTCAAGTTTATCTTCTCTGACTCTGTGGTTCTCTGGAAGCCTGCGGAACTCCTCAGTCAGTCGAAGGCACTCCCTGATGTTCTCAGGGGATACAAAGTCTACAGCAACCTTCGTGCATGACTGTGTGCAAAAGGTGCAATGAGATAACAAAGAATGGCAATGAAGATGTTAAGATGAAAAAAGAACAGGGTTGAGAGGTGTATGTAGTACCTTGAGATTCCGAACTTGGTGC